GAAACTTAGAGACAGATACTTGGAGCCTGAAACTATGAGACGACTGTCGCGGAATTATAAATCTCAAAACGTGAAAATTCCACGGAATGTGTAAAAATGTGTAAAATATAGAAAGTAAAGTATTTTAATGCTAACGATAGTCAATAGGCGATAGCAATATTAGCTGTAAGTAGCAGTAAGTGTTAAGGTAGATGACAAACTTTGCCTGACTGCTGACTAAAAATTGCGAGGGAGCTTTCATCGATTGTACGTCCGAAATTCTCGTGAGAAAGTCACGAATTTTTGCACCCGGGCTGTCGCGGGTAAATATTTTTCTTTCTCAGTAAATCATGGAACAGGATTTCGGGATTTCGGGGGCGATATACGTTTTTTTCCTTTTTTTCTTTTTTTTTTTTTTTTTTTTTTCCCCCGTGAATCGTAAGTCATCGATGTAAAAGCGGGCAGCGTTTGACAGAATAGAGAGAACAGGATGAAAGGGAGGAGACTGGTTGATTTCAAGAGGGAACGGCAATTTGGCCGATGGGAAAAAACAGATGAGTTATGTTGGAGATAATAGTTGGAAGATGAATGCTCGGGCCGTTTCCCAACTATATGACGCGCGCGTCGACGCTCGCTACGCGAATAACGCGTGCAACCGGCGAAAAAGCCCGGAAAAATGTTTATTTTCGCCCGGTAGCCACCTAGGACGGCCGAACAAAATTTCTAACGGCAAAGAAAACAAATCACTCCGAATTCGATCTGTATATTTTGTCGAGTTACGCAAACACGCGGGGGATCCGCGTGCCGGACGCCGCGTTTTCCACCGGATAGGACGGTTGAATTATAAAACGATCGTACGAATGCCGTTCTTTCATCTTTAGACTTTAACACAAGCACGGACAACTCTATTCGCCATTTTATACTTTTCTGTATGGAAGAATCTCGTTGAAGTTACGTTTAGATTAATCAAATTACTACCCACTTAAAATCCGAGCTACTGCCGTAAAATTTTTATCCCTGTTTCTCATTCGTGGAATTATTTAACTGCAAATAATCTCTCTCTCTCTCTCTCTCTCTCTCTC